TCACGGTGGCTAGGAGATGTTAACTACCTCGCCTGGTACGCAGGAGGTAGTAGGTTCGAACCCAACCCTGACGCCTGCTGCTGCTGCTGTATATTTGGAGTTTGCATGTCTCTCTCATCATCGTGGTGGCTAGATATATTTTTAATGACAACATTTATACATTCACGCGATCTAACCCCCCCAAAAAACTCTTGTGGATGATATTGGTCACGAGAGCCGTGCCCGCTACTCGGTGTGAAACCAAACACAAGCAGCCGTACGGGGGGTGTGTGCAAGACGTTAGGTGAGGTTGCTCAAAAATAAATAAACTGAGAAACTTGTGCGCTCATCGCAGAAGAGTGATGAGGAAGACAGCGGCGCTGACCACCAGGCGGCGCTGGCGACTGCCCCCAGCTGTGCGAAGGCGCAGAGTCCCAGCAGCAGCAGCGGCGGGGAGACGGGACCCATCGGAGTTCTCATGGCCAGCGACTCTGTGCAGAAGAGAAGCGGAGCGGGGGTGACGATGTCAACACACCTCGCACGCTACGCAAGAGGTCGTGGGTTCCATCCCGACGATGCCCGCTGCTGCTGCTGCTGCTGTATATTGTGAGTTGTCATGTCTCACTCATCATCATCGTCATCATCACGGTGGCTGGGAGATGTTAACTTCCTCGCCTGGTACGAGGGATCGAACCCACGAGTGCTTGTGTACCGGGCGAGGGAGTCAACATCTCACCACCGTGGTCGTGATGAACTCCAACTGCTGATGTCTGTAGCCGACCGACCTTATAACCAGATGAATCCCTGCAGTCACGAAAGCTTTAAATAAAACAATTCTAAATTTAAATTTACGCATTTTGATGTGACGTCACATTTCTCAACCCCACTCCCCCTCGTCACAAATGTCTGACCCCTCCCCCCAGGTGCGTGACGTCATTTATGGACGGCCCCAAAGCCCCCGCGACACAACCAAGAGCAGAACATCATCTGTGGAGATAATTCAGTGACGAAAACACGTTTTATTGTTGTCCCTGGCTAGTAGTGTTACTACCTAATAGACCACTCCACTAACAACAGTGTGACAACATTGTCCCTTTATAGTAAAGTGTTACTACCTAATAGCTAGTGCCTCACAAGTAGAGAAAGTGGCTCTTAAAAATATATCAATTTTCTTTTAGATTTGAAGCTTTCGTGACTGTAAGGATTCATACTCTGAGGTTTTTTCGGTGAAGTTACGTAGGTACAAAATTAAAATTAATAAAAGTAAAATACCTATGGACATTGATATTTATACATTTAACTATTTTAAATTTTAAAAAACGTGGCGTGCATTTGTGTCATCCCTTCACGTAAAGTCCTGCTCACAAAAGCAAAGTTTGTGTGGAATAATAATATCAATTAAATACACTTTGTAGGCAATTTAGCAACACACAACACTTCACTACGCAGGGTCATCAGACCTCGTGTTAGGCCATCACCCGGCAGCGGTGTTCTCGTTGTTGTTGAACCAATAAATATAGTTTAGATATGCAAGGAGACTCATGCACTGTTTAGGTAAACCCACTAAAATAAACTCCTTAAAAAAATTGTAACAAATTTTTTTCATAAAAAATGTAATATAAAAATGTAAACAAATTTTTTTTATTAAAATTTTTTTCATCAAAAAATGTTACATAAAAAATGTCAAAAAAAATTTTTTTATTAAAAATCTTTTTCATCAAAAAATTTTTCGTAAATTTTTTTATAAAAAATTGTTAACATTTTTTAGATTAATTTTTTTTTCATAAAATTTTTTATATAAAAATGTAAACAAATTTTTTTTATTAAAATTTTTTCATCAAAAAATGTTATATAAAAAATGTAAAAAAAAAAAAATTTCTTAAAAATGTTTTCATCAAAACATTTTTTTTTAAAGAAGTCGAGCGGACGTGTAAGTAAACGACGTTTCGACCACGAGCTTTGAGCGCGACACACACACAGAGAGGAATGAAGTTGAATAATAAAACTTTGACTTTCGACACTTTTTGCTCAGCGCTCACCGCGTGTTGAGAAGTTCCCGAGTCAGTGGCGCCTGCTTCGTGGGCGAGGCGATTCCAGAGTTTAGGGACCGCGGCGTTCTTGATTCCCGGCAGGCAAATAAATATTGAATTAATAAGACGTCCATTAATTTTTTTGTATTGCTTCTAAAGAGATGCTTAATTGATTGATGCCAATTTTTATTGATTACTTTATTAATTAATCTTTAACGTACTAATTTTTTTTTATTTCGAGTGATGCTCGCACACGAAGCAGGCGCGCCTGAGGCACGCGGCGCCTGCTTGGTGTGCGAGCCGATTCCATAGTTTAGGGACAGCGGCGTTTTCCACCTTACACAACAATTACTCACCTCACCCACCCACCTCACACACTCATCTCACCCACCCACTCACCTCACCCACCCACTCACCCACCCACTCACCCACCCACTTCACCCACTCACCTACCCAATCACCCACTCACCCACCCACCCACTCACCCACCCACTCACCCACTTCACCCACCCACCCACTCACCCACCCACTCACCTCACCCACCCACTCACCCACCCACCTCACCCACCTCACACACCCACCACTCACCTCACCCAATCACCCACTCACCCACCCACTCACCCACCCACTCACCCACTTCACCCACCCACTCACCCACCCACCCACCCACTCACCCACCCACCCACCCACTCACCTCACCCACCCACCCACTCACCTCACCCACCCACCCACTCACCCACCCACCCACCCACTCACCTCACCCACCCACCTCACCCACCCACTCACCCACCCACCCACTCACCCACCCACCCACTCACTCACCCACCCACCCACCCACTTCACCCACCCACCCATCCACTCACCCACCCACCCACTTCACCCACCCACTTCACCCACCCACCCACTCACTCAGCCACCCACTTCACCCACCCACTCACTCACCTCACCCACCCACCCACCTCACATACCCACCCACCTACTCACTCACTCACCCACCCACCCACCCACTCACCTCACCCACTCACCCACCCACCCACTCACTCACCTCACCCACCCACCTCACCCACTCACCCACCCAATCACCCACCCACTCACCCACCCACCCACTCACTCACCTCACACACCCACTCACCCACCCAATCACCCACTCACCCACCCAATCACCCACTCACCCACCCAATCACCCACTCACCCACCCAATCACCCACTCACCCACCCACCCACCCACTCACCCACCCACCCACTCACTCACCTCACACACCCAATCACCCACTCACCTCACTCATCTCACCCACCCACTCACCCACCCACTCACCCACCCAATCACCCACTCACCCACCCACTCACCTCACACACCCACTCAGCCACTCACCCACCCAATCACCTCACACGGGGGGGAGGCCAGGGGAGGGGGGGCAGGGGGGGGGGAGGCCAGGGGGGGGGGGGTGGGCCAGGGGGAGGCCAGGGGGGGGGGGTGGGCCAGGGGGGGGGGGGGGGTGGAGGCTGGGTACGGGTAGCCGGGTACCCGATTGCGACCTCTGGGATGAAGCCATGTTGCAGGCGCGGGTGGGTTGATTCTAGGAACTTGAATTGTGAGAAGAGACAAGACGTTGGGAATTGAGTGACAAACAGTTACTCACCAGTGACTCACGGTCTACCCGTACACGGCCGCACCAGGGTTGCAAACGGGAACCCGTACCCGTCCGGGTACGGGTAGCCGGGTATCGGGTAGGGTACAGGTATCGGGTAGGGTACGGGTATAGGGGTACGGGTACCGGGTATAGGGGTACGGTTATCAGGGGGTACCCGGTTGCGACCTCTGTCCGACACTTCTCTTCACGTCCTCCACGATTCTCACGGCTCCTTTCTCCTGCCAGGCCAGTCTCCCCCCCCCCATACCACCACCACCACTGCTGACTCACCCTTCCAGTCAATCGACATTTGTAATTCATTTCTACATAAAATAAACACCTCCACGTGCAGCAAATAACGCGAACAAATTGTCCCCATGTGACGTTCACCAGACTGCTGTAGCAAGCGTTGTTAGCGAGCACCTATTAAGATTGCCACAGAACACACGTACACACGCGTACACACGGGGCGGGGACGTGGGAATGCTTGGAGGCAGGAAGATTTGGGGCGATTGTCTACGACACTTGTATGAGGAGGCCCTCCCCCTGCCCGAGTCACGGTGCGAGTCGGGAGTCGTTGTGGGTCACGTGCAGGGCTAGACACAAGGCTGTGAGTCACGTGCAGGGCAAGACGCAAGGCTGTGGGTCACGTTCAGGGCTAGACACAAGGCTGTGAGTCACGTGTCTGGAGGGCGGATTGGGCAGTTGTGCGAATGACACATGCCAGCCACAAAAGCACTTGTACATTTCGTTAATATTCGTTGACGTAACTAATCAATGAACACCGCACGTGCCTGATGATTGGTGAACACTACACGTGAACGAGCGCACCGATTGAAAAAAAAACGCGACACGGCGGCGACTTGCAATGAACATTGTCACATTTATTCAGCACGTTGAGTACCCGAGGGCACGACTCGTGTCCGAGCGGTGACTCGTGACCGCTGCCTGTCTAAGCGCCGTGGTGAGCAGGGGGCATTAGGAGCGGGGCTACTCCTGGCACGGTGACTTTAGCATCCCCCTCTGTGTCCGAACAGGCGAGGCTCAATGTCGTTAAGAGTTACATTTCGATTTAAAGCTTCTTTCGTGACTGCAGGGATTCATCTTCTTGGTTCTTTCGGTAAAGTCACATAGAATGAAAATAATAAAATAATAACAATAAAACATAATAAAATACGATTCTCACGACGTTTCGGCCACAACGCAAGCAGCCGTCCTCAGGTGGAGAACAGGTCTGTCGGGGAGACAGCGTCTGAATGCGTGGTGCTGTTTCATTCAGACGCTGTCTGCCCGACAGACCTGCTCTCCACCTGAGGACGGCTGCTTGCGTTGTGGCCGAAACGTCGTGAGAATTATCTAATGATTTTTTATTATTGTATTATTTCCCTTCTACGTGGTGACTTTACCGAAAGAGCCAAGAAGGTCGCTAGGAGTTGTTGCCAGTGGGCTGTCGGCAAGGGGGGGACTACGGGACTAGCGCAAGCTCTGGGAGAGCCTCCCCGTAGCGGTGCCCCCCAGCTGCTGCTTCTTGCGCGACTCGTCCACCTGGAAGCAGCGCCACAGGCGCAGAGTCTCATCGGCAGCGAGCGACATCACCGAGGAACCGTCGGGGCTCGCGACAGCCTGCAGCACGCGCTGTGTGGGTCCTGCGGGTGCGGAGAGACAGGGCGGGGGGGAGACACACGGAGACATGGTGGGGGGGGGGGGGAGACACAGACACACACAATGCTCATTGTCTCAGCAATGGGCACGTGTGTATGAGGGGCTTCTTTCATACCACACGGAGCCCACCGTGCTAATCAGAGGTGCGAGGAGGGACACACTTAACACAAAAAACTGTTCTAAACAAAAAAGCAGTTAAATTTCGATTTAAAGCTTTCGTGACTGCAGGGATTCATATGCTTGGTTCTTTCGGTAAAGTGACGTAGAAGGGAAATAATAAAATAATAAAAATATTACACAATAAATTTCTCACGACGTTTCGACTGCAACACAAGCAATCATCATCAGCTGTGAAATCCACAGCAAGAAAATTAGAAAAAAGTCTTGCTGTGGATTTCACACCCGATGATGATTGCTTGTGTTGCAGTCGAAACGTCGTGATAATTTTTATTGTTTAATATTAATACTATTTTTTAATTTCCCTTCTACGTGACTTTACCGAAAGAACCAAGAATAAGAAAGTGGTCGTAAAGAAATCATGACAAGGCACATTTACATTGTCCCACCACCCCAACCTCATGTGGCCATCTCCACGTGTGTCCTTGTGTGCCTGTGTGTGCCCGTGTGTGCGCGTGTGTGCCCGTGTGTGCGCGTGTGTGCACGTGTGTGTGCGCGTGTGTGCCTGTGTGTGCGTGTGTGTGCGCGCGTGTGTGTGCGCGCGTGTGCCCCCGTACCTAGGAGCTGGGCGACGGGCACCATCGCCGGGTATGCCCACAGAGCGAGTTGGTTCTTGGGGTGGCCGTGGGCGGACAGCAGCTCCCTGTGCTCGCTCGACCACAACACGGAGCACACCTGCAGGGGGTGGGCGAGTCGTGAGCACGCGTCTCTGTGAGTCTCCGTGCCCGAGACACGCAACGTCTACACTACGAGACGTCTCCTTTACCAGTGGCACAATATTGTGATGGGGTTTTACACTTTCAACTGGTACCTTTATACAAGGCATCATGCTTGCAATAACCACAACACAAACAGTCAAAATGCAAACTAAAAGAAACAACTCTCATGATGGTAATGATATGCACTGTCCTTGAAGTTGATTGGTCCACACCCGAGACAGCTTTTCTTAGAGCCTAGTCTCCATTGGTGTTGGACCAGATGACGCCAACAGGCGTACAACTCAAAGACAGCGCACGATCAGAGTATTGAGAGCTCGGGGTAAGCATTTACACTATGAGACATCTCCTTTACCAGTGGCAAAATATAGTGATGGGGTTTTACCCTTTCAACTAGTGCAAAAACTGACACCTTTATACAAGGCATCTTGTTTGCAATAACCACAACACAAGCAGTCAAAATGCAAACTAAAAGAAACTATATTTTGCCACTGGTAAAGGAGATGTCTCATAGTGTAAATGCTTACCCCGAGCTCTCAATACTCTGATAGTGCACTGTCTTTGAGTTGTATACAAGGCATCATGTTTTTGAGTTGTACGCCTTTTGGCGTCATCTGGTCCAACACCAATGGAGACTAGGCTCTAAGGAAAGCTGTCTCGGGTGTGGACCAATCAACTTCAAGGACAGTGCATATCATCATCAGAGTTGTTTCTTTTTGTTTGCATTTTGACTGCTTGTGTTGTGGTTATTGCAAACATGATGCCTTGTATAAAGGTGTCAGTTTTTGTACCAGTTGAAAGCGTAAAAACCCATCACTATATTTTGCCACTGGTAAAGGAGATGTATCATAGTGTAAATATGATCAGAGTTGTTTCTTTTGTTTGCATTTTGACTGCTTGTGTTGTGGTTATTGCAAACATGCTGTCAGTTCTTGTACCAGATCAAAGGGTAAAAACCCATCACTGCACGCAACGTGCACGGCACCGAGATGCCGCTACTGCGTCTCCCCCCCCCCCCCATTCTCCCCCACCCCCGTGTGTGCGTGTCCGTGCCTGAGACTCAACGTCCACTGCTTTGGAGCAGACTCCCGTGTTGACATTCCACAGGCGGATGTGGTGGTCGTTCCTTCCACCTCCGCTCGCCAGCAAACTCGCCTGCCAGGGGCACCACGCGAGCGCCTGCACACGAGGAGACGCACAACGACGCGGACAGACACTCTTCATTCGCCCTCTCGGATCGCTGAGGCCGGTGCCAACGCCGCACGCCGACTGGCTCGAGCACGGCACATCGCGCCGCCCGCCGCCACTGCCTTAGTCCCCCCGTTGCCGGTGGGTGTTCAGACACCGCGGCAGGTCGGCGCGGAAGGCGAGCGGCGTTAGCCGTGGCCGGGAATCGAGCGCTCACGAGCCGCACGGAGGTCGCGTGTCGGTGTGTGCGTCGCGCGGCTCGGCGGGCACAACGTGGCACGCCGGCCCACGCGGTGGGGGCGGGAGGGAGGGCAGCGGAGCCATCCTCCAGTTCTAAGTGAACCCGTAGCACCTCGGACCTGTCCCAAGATCTCTTGCCAAGTCCAGCAAGCCTCCAACATGTCACGTGACCTGCAAACTGCACAAAGGCCCAATCTGTGCTTTTTATACGTTTCTGCGCCATTTTTTCGCTTTGATGGTTTGTTTCCCCAGACGAACGATGTCTCCGCTACTCGGCGGCCGTTACAGTGACCTTTCGATTTGAAGCTTTGGTGACTGCAGGGATTCATCTTCTTGGTTCTTTCGGTAAAGTCACGTAGAAGGGAAGTAATAAAATAATAAAAATAAAACATAATAAAATAATTCTCACGACGTTTCGGCCACAACGCAAGCAGCCGTCCTCAGGTGGAGAACAGGTCTGTCGAGGCGACAGCGTCTGAATGTTTTATTTTCATTATTTCATTACTTCCCTCCTACGTGACTTTACCGAAAGAACCAAGAAGAGGTCACAGCGACCGGCTCGCCGCGTCCGTCGTGGTGGCGGTGTCACCACCGTGTGCGTGGTGTCACTGCGTGCGTGGTGTCACTGCGTGCGTGGTGTCACTGCGTGCGTGGTGTCACTGCGTGCGTGGTGTCACTGCGTGCGTGGTGTCACTGTGTGCGTGGTGTCACTGCGTGCGTGGTGTCACCGTGTGCGTGGTGTCACTGTGTGCGTGGTGTCACTGCGTGCGTGGTGTCACCGTGTGCGTGGTGTCACCGTGTGCGTGGTGTCACCGTGTGCGTGGTGTCACCGTGTGCGTGGTGTCACCGTGTGCGTGGTGGTGTCACTGTGTGCGTGGTGTCACTGTGTGCGTGGTGTCACCTGTGTGCGTGGGTGTCACCGTGTGCGTGGTGTCACTGCGTGCGTGGTGTCACTGTGTGCGTGGTGTCACTGTGTGCGTGTGTCACTGTGTGCGTGGTGTCACTGTGTGCGTGGTGTCACTGTGTGCGTGGTGTCACTGCGTGCGTGGTGTCACTGTGTGCGTGGTGTCACTGTGTGCGTGGTGTCACTGTGTGCGTGGTGTCACTGTGTGCGTGGTGTCACTGTGTGCGTGGTGTCACTTGTGTGCGTGGTGTCACTGCTGTGCGTGGTGTCACTGTGTGCGTGGTGTCACTGTGTGCGTGGTGTCACTGTGTGCGTGGTGTCACTGTGTGCGTGGTGTCACTGCGTGCGTGGTGTCACTGTGTGTGCGTGGTGTCACTGCGTGCGTGGTGTCACTGTGTGCGTGGTGTCACTGTGTGCGTGGTGTCACTGTGGTGCGTGGTGTCACTGCGTGCGTGGTGTCACTGCGTTGCGTGGTGTCACTGTGTGCGTGGTGTCACTGCGTGCGTGGTGTCACTGTGTGCGTGGTGTCACTGCGTGCGTGGTGTCACTGTGTGTGCGTGGTGTCACTGCGTGCGTGGTGTCACTGTGTGTGCGTGGTGTCACTGCGTGCGTGGTGTCACTGTGTGTGCGTGGTGTCACTGCGTGCGTGGTGTCACTGTGTGCGTGGTGTCACTGCGTGCGTGGTGTCACTGTGTGTGCGTGGTGTCACTGTGTGCGTGGTGTCACTGCGTGCGTGGTGTCACTGTGTGTGCGTGGTGTCACTGGCGTGCGTGGTGTCACTGTGTGTGCGTGTGTCCACTGTGTGCGTGGTGTCACTGTGTGCGTGGTGTCACTGCGTGCGTGGTGTCACTGTGTGTGCGTGGTGTCACTGCGTGCGTGGTGTCACTGTGTGTGCGTGGTGTCACTGCGTGCGTGGTGTCACTGCGTGCGTGGTGTCACTGTGTGTGCGTGGTGTCACTGCGTGCGTGGTGTCACTGTGTGTGCGTGGTGTCACTGCGTGCGTGGTGTCACTGCGTGCGTGGTGTCACTGTGTGTGCGTGGTGTCACTGCGTGCGTGGTGTCACTTGCGTGCGTGGTGTCACTGTGGTGCGTGGTGTCACTGCGTGCGTGGTGTCACTGCGTGCGTGGTGTCACTGTGTGCGTGGTGTCACTGCGTGCGTGGTGTCACTGGTGTGCGTGGTGTCACTGCGTGCGTGGTGTCACTGTGTGTGCGTGGTGTCACTGCTGTGCGTGGTGTCACTGCGTGCGTGGTGTCACTGTGTGCGTGGTGTCACTGTGTGTGCGTGGTGTCACTGCGTGCGTGGTGTCACTGTGTGTGCGTGGTGTCACTGTGTGTGCGTGGTGTCACTGCGTGCGTGGTGTCACTGTGTGTGCGTGGTGTCACTGTGTGTGCGTGGTGTCACTGCGTGCGTGGTGTCACTGTGTGTGCGTGGTGTCACTGTGTGCGTGGTGTCACCGTGTGCGTGGTGTCACTGTGTGTGTGGTGTCACTGTGTGCGTGGTGTCACTGTGTGCGTGGTGTCACTGTGTGCGTGGTGTCACTGTGTGCGTGGTGTCACTGTGTGCGTGGTGTCACTGTGTGCGTGGTGTCACTTGCGTGCGTGGTGTCACTGTGTGTGTGGTGTCACTGTGTGCGTGGTGTCACTGTGTGCGTGGTGTCACTGTGTTGCGTGGTGTCACTGCGTGCGTGGTGTCACTGTGTGTGCGTGGTGTCACTGTGTGCGTGGTGTCACCGTGTGCGTGGTGTCACTGTGTGTGTGGTGTCACTGTGTGCGTGGTGTCACTGTGTGCGTGGTGTCCACTGTGTGCGTGGTGTCACTGTGTGCGTGGTGTCACTGTGTGCGTGGTGTCACTGTGTGCGTGGTGTCACTGCGTGCGTGGTGTCACTGTGTGCGTGGTGTCACTGTGTGCGTGGTGTCACTGCGTGCGTGGTGTCACTGTGTGCGTGGTGTCACTGTGTGCGTGGTGTCACTGTGTGCGTGGTGTCACTGCGTGCGTGGTGTCACTGTGTGCGTGGTGTCACTGTGTGCGTGGTGTCACTGTGTGCGTGGTGTCACTGTGTGCGTGGTGTCACTGTGTGCGTGGTGTCACTGCGTGCGTGGTGTCACTGTGTGCGTGGTGTCACTGTGTGCGTGGTGTCACTGCGTGCGTGGTGTCACTGCGTGCGTGGTGTCACTGTGTGCGTGTGTCACTGTGTGCGTGGTGTCACTGGCTGTGCGTGGTGTCACTGTGTGTGCGTGGTGTCACTGCGTTGCGTGGTGTCACTGTGTGAGTGGTGTCACTGTGTGTGCGTGGTGTCACTGCGTGCGTGGTGTCACTGCGTGCGTGGTCACTGTGTGCGTGGTGTCACTGTGTGCGTGGTGTCACTGCGTGCGTGGTGTCACTGCGTGCGTGGTGTCACTGTGTGCGTGGTGTCACTGCGTGCGTGGTGTCACTGTGTGTGCGTGGTGTCACTGCGTGCGTGGTGTCACTGTGTGTGCGTGGTGTCACTGTGTGTGCGTGGTGTCACTGCGTGCGTGGTGTCACTGTGTGTGCGTGGTGTCACTGTGTGTGCGTGGTGTCACTGCGTGCGTGGTGTCACTGTGTGTGCGTGGTGTCACTGTGTGCGTGGTGTCACCGTGTGCGTGGTGTCACTGTGTGTGTGGTGTCACTGTGTGCGTGGTGTCACTGTGTGCGTGGTGTCACTGTGTGTGCGTGGTGTCACTGCGTGCGTGGTGTCACTGCGTGCGTGGTGTCACTGTGTGCGTGGTGTCACTGCGTGCGTGGTGTCACTGTGTGTGCGTGGTGTCACTGCGTGCGTGGTGTCACTGTGTGTGCGTGGTGTCACTGTGTGTGCGTGGTGTCACTGCGTGCGTGGTGTCACTGTGTGTGCGTGGTGTCACTGTGTGTGCGTGGTGTCACTGCGTGCGTGGTGTCACTGTGTGTGCGTGGTGTCACTGTGTGCGTGGTGTCACCGTGTGCGTGGTGTCACTGTGTGTGTGGTGTCACTGTGTGCGTGGTGTCACTGTGTGCGTGGTGTCACTGTGTGCGTGGTGTCACTGTGTGCGTGGTGTCACTGTGTGTGTGGTGTCACTGTGTGCGTGGTGTCACTGTGTGCGTGGTGTCACTGCGTGCGTGGTGTCACTGTGTGCGTGGTGTCACTGTGTGCGTGGTGTCACCGTGTGCGTGGTGTCACTGTGTGTGCGTGGTGTCACTGCGTGCGTGGTGTCACTGTGTGCGTGGTGTCACTGTGTGCGTGGTGTCACCGTGTGCGTGGTGTCACTGTGTGCGTGGTGTCACTGTGTGCGTGGTGTCACTGCGTGCGTGGTGTCACTGTGTGCGTGGTGTCACTGTGTGCGTGGTGTCACTGCGTGCGTGGTGTCACTGCGTGCGTGGTGTCACTGCGTGCGTGGTGTCACTGTGTGCGTGGTGTCACTGCGTGCGTGGTGTCACTGCGTGCGTGGTGTCACTGTGTGCGTGGTGTCACTGTGTGTGCGTGGTGTCACTGCGTGCGTGGTGTCACTGTGTGTGCGTGGTGTCACTGTGTGCGTGGTGTCACTGCTGTGTGCGTGGTGTCACTGTGTGTGCGTGGTGTCACTGTGTGCGTGGTGTCACTGTGTGTGCGTGGTGTCACTGTGGTGCGTGGTGTCACTGTGTGTGCGTGGTGTCACTGGGCGTGTGTCACTGTGTGCGTGGTGTCACTGGGTGCGTGGTGTCACTGCTGTGCGTGGTGTCACTGTGTGCGTGGTGTCACTGTGTGTGCGTGGTGTCACTGTGGTGCGTGGTGTCACTGCGTGCGTGGTGTCACTGTGTGCGTGGTGTCACTGTGTGTGCGTGGTGTCACTGCTGTGCGTGGTGTCACTGTCGTGCGTGGTGTCACTGCTGTGCGTGGTGTCACTGTGTGCGTGGTGTCACTGTGTGCGTGGTGTCACTGTGTGCGTGGTGTCACTGTGTGCGTGGTGTCACTGTGTGCGTGGTGTCACTGTGGTGTCACTGTGTGCGTGGTGTCACTGTGTGCGTGTGTCACTGTGTGTGTGGTGTCACTGTGTGCGTGGTGTCACTGTGTGCGTGGTGTCACTGCGTGCGTGGTGTCACTGTGTGCGTGGTGTCACTGTGTGCGTGGTGTCACCGTGTGCGTGGTGTCACTGTGTGTGCGTGGTGTCACTGCGTGCGTGGTGTCACTGTGTGCGTGGTGTCACTGTGTGCGTGGTGTCACCGTGTGCGTGGTGTCACTGTGTGCGTGGTGTCACTGCGTGCGTGGTGTCACTGTGTGCGTGGTGTCACTGTGTGCGTGGTGTCACCGTGTGCGTGGTGTCACTGTGTGCGTGGTGTCACTGCGTGTGTGGTGTCACTGTGTGTGTGGTGTCACTGTGTGCGTGGTGTCACTGTGTGCGTGGTGTCACTGCGTGCGTGGTGTCACTGTGTGCGTGGTGTCACTGTGTGCGTGGTGTCACCGTGTGCGTGGTGTCACTGTGTGCGTGGTGTCACTGCGTGCGTGGTGTCACTGTGTGCGTGGTGTCACTGTGTGCGTGGTGTCACTGTCGTGCGTGGTGTCACTGTGTGCGTGGTGTCACTGCGTGCGTGGTGTCACTGTGTGCGTGGTGTCACTGTGTTGCGTGGTGTCCACTGTGGTGGCGTGGTGTCACTGCGTTGCGTGTGTCACTGCGTGGCGTGTGTCACTGCGTGCGTGTGTCACTGTGTGTGCGTGGTTGTGTCACTGCGTGCGTGGTGTCACTGTGTGTGCGGGTGTCACTGCTGTGCGGTGGTGTCACTGTGTGCGTGGTGTCACTGGTGTGCGTGGTGTCACTGCGTGCGTGGTGTCACTGTGTGGCGTGGTGTCACTGTGTGCGTGGTGTCACTGTGTGTGCGTGGTGTCACTGGTGCGTGGTGTCACTGTGTGCGTGGTGTCACTGATGTGCGTGGTGTCACTGTGTGCGTGGTGTCACTGTGTGCGTGGTGTCACTGCGTGCGTGGTGTCACTGTGTGCGTGGTGTCACTGTGTGCGTGGTGTCACTGTGTGCGTGGTGTCACTGCGTGCGTGGTGTCACTGCGTGCGTGGTGTCACTGTGTGCGTGGTGTCACTGCGTGCGTGGTGTCACTGTGTGCGTGGTGTCACTGTGTGCGTGGTGTCACTGTGTGTGTGGTGTCACTGTGTGCGTGGTGTCACTGTGTGCGTGGTGTCACTGTGTGCGTGGTGTCACTGTGTGCGTGGTGTCACTGTGTGCGTGGTGTCACTGTGCGTGTGTCCTGGTGGTGTCACTGTGTGCGTGGTGTCACTGTGTGCGTGGTGTCACTGCGTGCGTGGTGTCACTGTGTGCGTGGTGTCACTGCGTGCGTGGTGTCACTGTGTGCGTGGTGTCACTGTGTGCGTGGTGTCACTGTGTGTGTGGTGTCACCGTGTGCGTGGTGTCACTGTGTGTGTGGTGTCACCGTGTGCGTGGTGTCACTGTGTGCGTGGTGTCACCGCCGCGTGCGTGCGTGCGCGTCCCTGCCTTCACGGCGGCCGTATGCTCCTTGAGGGAGTGGAGGGGTGCCGGGGACGTGCTGCCGCTGGCCCACACGAGGAGCCTGTTGTCGTCGCCTCCGCTGGCGAGCAGGCGTCCGCCGGGGGACCAGGCCAGGCCGCACACCTCCCGCGCGTGGCCGCTCAGCGAGGCCACGTGATGCCGCGCCACCCGCACGTCGTCCTGGCGGATCTCTCCCGAGCGGGACCCACTGCAGCAGCAGCCGCCGCGACCGCAGAGTTGACGACAAAAACAAACAACAACAAGGAACGGCAGTGATTCTAGATGTGAAGCTGTCGTGACTGCAAGGATTCATACTCGTAGGTTTTCTCGGTAAAGCCACGTCGGTGAAAATATTGTGAAAAAAATATTTTATTTATTTTCATTTATTATTATTTTATTTTATTATAATTTTTTACTTACGTGACTTTATCTTCTTGGTTCTTTCGGTAAAGTCACGTAGAAGGGAAGTAATAAAATAATAAAAATAAAACATAATAAAACAATTCTCACGACGTTTCGGCCACAACGCAAGCAGCCGTCCTCAGGTGAAAAAACAGGTCTGTCGAGAAGACAGCGTCTGAATGACACACCCCAGGCTTGGAGTGTCTATTTAAGTGACTTTACCCAAAAAACCTAAGAGTAAGGAACGGCGATGCAGCGTGTCTCCACCCGCACACCGAGGTGCTGGATCTCACCCAAGTCGAGAGCCAAAGCCGTCACCACGACGCCGGCGTTCACCGCAGCGCTCACCACGGCAAAGTGTGCGGTGTGCGCCCAAGCACTTGCCTTGCCAGGAGGTGTCCGTTCCAGGACAGGGAGCTCACACGCCCCACGTGACCCGACAGGCTCCTGAGACGCTTGCGGCGCTCCACGTCCCAGATCTGCGCGTGCAAACACACACACACACGTACACACACACACACACGTACACACACACACGTACACACACACACGTACACACACACACACGTACACACACACACACGTACACACACACACGTACACACACACACGTACACACACACACACGTACACACACACACACACGTACACACACACGTACACACACACACACGTACACACACTTACACACACTTACACATGCACACACGCACCACCATAGAGACACACACACACACGCACCACCATAGAGACCCACGCAAGGACGCACAAGTCACGGCGCCGATACAAAGCCCACCTGCTCACTTCCCAGAATCCTCTGCTCTCCAACCCGTACCCCAGAAGTCTCACATTTTTGGCAAGTTCCCCATTCACCCCGTCTCCCGTGCCGGTCACTCGCTCCACACTCCGCCTTCCACAATGCCCTGCTCCTTGAAATATCCCAGAATCCTCTGCTCTCCACCCCTTATCCCAGAAGTCTTATATTTTCGGCAAGTTCCCCATTCACCCCGTCTCCCGTACCGGTCACTCGCTCCACACTCCGCCTTCCACAATGCCCTGCTCCTTGAAATATCCCAGAATCCTCTGCTCTCCACCCCGTACCCCAGAATGCTGTGCTCATTACCTGCACGGTGTTGAAGCTGGTTCCTATGGCGAGGAAGTTGCCGCTGGTTGGTACCCACGAGACGGACGAGGGGTAGTACCGCCCCTCCATCTGACACGGGCAGAGACACACGGTGTACACGCATCTCTCACGCTCAAGCTGCCGGCGTGCGTGTGCTGCTTCACGGCACTCCGCCGGCTTTGCACAAGAACACAACAACACTGCCCCCCCCCCGTATCCCCATGCATCCACAAACGAGCCTGTTCTCTCTACGTGTCTCTGTGATATCTGTCTACTTATATGTCTGTCTGTGTGTCTATGTTGTGTGTCTCTGTGTGTCTCTGTGTTGTCTCTCTCTACGTGTCTCTGTGATATCTGTCTCTACTTATATGTCTGTCTGTGTGTCTATGTTGTGTGTCTCTGTGTGTCTCTGTGTTGTCTCTCTCTACGTGTCTCTGTGATATCTGTCTCTACTTATATGTCTGTCTGTGTGTCTATGTTGTGTGTCTCTATCTGTGTGTGTCTCTGTGTGTCTCTGTGTTGTCTCTCTCTATGTATCTCTGTGATATCTGTCTACTTATGTCTGTGTGTGTGTCTATGTTGTGTGTCTCTCTCTGTGTGTGTCTCTGTGTTGTCTCTCTCTATGTATCTCTGTGATATCTGTCTCTACTTATATGTCTGTGTGTGTGTCTATGTTGTGTGTCTCTCTCTGTGTGTGTCTCTGTGTTGTCTCTCTCTATGTATCTCTGTGATATCTGTCTCTACTTATATGTCTGTCTGTGTGTCTATGTTGTGTGTCTCTCTCTGTGGGTGTTTCTGTGTGTCTCTCTCTGTGTCTCTCTCTCTGTGTCTCGCTCTGTGTGTCTCGCTCTGTGTGTCTCGCTCTGTGTGTCTCTCTCTGTGTGTCTCTCTCTGTGTATCTCTGTGATATCTGTCTGCTTATATGTCTGTCTAGATGTCTCTGGTTCTGTGTTTTATCTCTCTCTCAAATTTAGCATTCTCAGGAAGAACGTAATCAACCAGGTGGGGTGTTGACTGTTATGTTATCCGACTCTCTGTTGTATTACATTACATTTCAAAGTATACTAGATTTGTGTTTCTATTTAATTTATACCTGATGACGATTGATTGTGTTGCAATCGAAACGTCGTATGCTAGTATTTAATTTATTTTATTATTTTATCTTTATACGTGACTTTACCGAAAGAACCAAAGCATGTTCTCCATTCGTCGGTGCGTGTCTGCATGCCAGCGTCTCCGCGTGTCTGGTCGTGCAGCGATTGGCGGGCTGCGTGATAAACCCAGCGGGCGACCCAAGTCCGATTCCCGCTCGCCGTTAACACAAGTGACAATTACTCTTTGGTTCTTTCGCTAAAGTCACGTGTAAAGATAAAATAATAAATTAAATAATAGCATACGACGTTTCGATTGCAACACAAGCAATCGCCGTCATCAGGTACAAAAGAAATAGCAACAAAAATCTAACCAGAAAACTATAGACAGACATATTAGCAGACAGATATCACCAAGATACATAGAGAGAGAGCAACACACATCGGCACACAGAGAGAGAACGTCTCTGTGACGAGGCCTTAAATAGAGAGAGGGGGGGGCGGGGGCGGAGAGAGGGAGGGGGTTAGAGAAAAAATGAGCATGTCAATGGGGAGGACGATGCGTGGTGAACCAAAGAGTAATTCCTGCAGTCACGAAAGCTCCAAACGAAGACACAAGTGACAATTGTCTGAACCAATCGTGCGCCTCCTCCCCTAAGCGGACTCCACATCCAATGAGCACCTGGTTCTCATCACCCACGGGGAGACAAAGGCGGCCAAGTCTGGTGCTGGTCACCCACCCACCCCCTGGTGTGCCATGCCAGTGTTCTCTAACAGCTCTTGCCCCACAAGTATGTGAAGGCTACATGGGAGGGGGGGAACTTTGTATTTGTGTTGCAGTACCTCGTTGCAGGCCTCCATGTGCTGGGTCACAGTCCCCGTTGCCGCGTCCCACAGGAACGTCCCCAGGCGGCCCAGCGCCATGCACACCACGTTGTCCACGCTCCAGTCCAGCGCGTTGAGGTCTGTGCGCACGGCGGTGTGGGGTCACAGGTCACGATAAGGGTGAACACTTTAAGTTCAGGATGACATTTGTATCGTGTGTGTATACGTGTACACATGGGTAAATACAGATTTTATATGATGCCGGTTTTGCGACTCAGGGAAGGTCGAGATATAATCACTTAGTTGTGGCGGTGGAGGGCGGTGGTGTCGCAGGCTGCGGCGTGGATACCGTGCAGGACAACTGTAGAATGCACGGGTAGAACGCCAGTGGCCTCGTTGTGGCGAACAAACACGGGCACGCACACAATGTGAAGCACAACGCCAAACTAGCTCCGCGTTGACGCATCGCGTGGACGCCATCTCAGCATTGCGGCCTTAGCAATGGGTCAGGGTGGGCACGTGGGAGACCAGCGGTCTGGATTGTGGGCCACTCGTATCTCAACGTGTTCATGTGGCCGATACAAAGTCCCACGTGATGAGGAGCCGCTTTGTTGCGCTGCCATTTGTGGCCACGTTGCCGCTGAGAAATAAGTGAATAGCTCAGCGGGCTGAAGCCGGTAAGTTTCACTCGTGGATATATTTCTATTTGAAGCTGTGTGTACGTGTGCGTGTGTGTGCCTGCGTGTGTGCGTGTGGTAGTGTAGCGGTTAGGACTACGCTGCGCTATGAACCCGGCGACACGGGTTCGATTCCCGCTCACGGCCAACACCGCTGACGATTATCTGAACCGGTCCCGAGCCTCCCCTAGGTAGACTCAGCCTCAAACGAGCACCCGGCGCGGTGCGTAAACATCGTCACCGGGGAGACAAAGGCGGCCGGGCGTGGTGCCGGCCACCCACCCCCTCGTGTGCCGTGTCGGCCCTCACAGGTGCTCGCTAACAGCACTTGCCCCTGCAGTCTGTTAAGGCCACACGGGGGACCTTTATCTTTGTGCGTGCGCGTATCTCACAGAAGTCATTGCGGACGCCCGGCGCGTCCATCACCCGTGCGGGCTGCGTGGGTACGCGCCGCTTCTTCTTGAGCAGGGAGAGCGGCGTGTAGCCCGGCATGGAGCACAGCGCCTGCTGTGTGGAGCCGCTGCAGCCTTCGGGGACAACCACCACAACCACCACCACAACCAGGACGACGTTAACCACCACAACCACCACCACCACCACAACCAGGACGACGTTAACCACCACAACCACCACAACCACCACCACCACCACCACCACAACCAGGACGACGTTAACCACCAAGGCAAACGCCGTGGCCACATTCACCAGGACGACGTTCACCACCACAACCACCACAACCACCACAACCACCAGGACGACGTTCACCACCACAACCACCACCACCACCACAACCAGGACGACGTTAACCACCAAGGCAAACGCCGTGGCCACATTCACCAGGACGACGTTCACCACCACAACCACCACAACCACCAGGACGACGTTCACCACCACAACCACCACAACCACCACAACCAGGACGACGTTAACCACCACAACCACCACCACCACCACAACCAGGACGACGTTAACCACCACAACCACCACCACCACCACAACCAGGACGACGTTAACCACCAAGGCAAACGCCGTGGCCACATTCACCAGGACGACGTTCACCACCACGGCAAACGCCGTGGCCACATTCACCAGGACGACGTTAACCACCACGGCAAACGCCGTGGCCACATTCACCAGGAACGCTGCGAACACAGCCCGGCAAACGCCATGGCCACAATCACCAGGACGACGTTCACCACCACGGCAAACGCCGTGGCCACATTCACCAGGAACGCTGCGAACACAGCCCTGCAGGGCGTGCGGAGACTTGCCTGCGTCCATGTGCCAGGGGGAACCACTCACCGTCACGTACACAGAGTCCCCTTCTCCCCCCCCCCCGCCATGTGTCTCCGTCTATCTGTAGCCCCCTGTGCCCCAGTCTCCTTCCATGTCCTCCCCTCCACGTCTCTGCCTTGCCCCAACACCTCCTCTGCCGTCCCCGTGTCGTGTCTACCGCTCGAGTCCTCTCTCCCCGACGTCACCCTGAGTCCTCGCCAACACGTCAAATCCGCTACTCGGCCGCAGCTCCCCGCGTCCTTCACCGTCTCTCCGTGTAGCCCGTCTTACCCTCGGGTACGCGTCCCTGGTAACGTAAGATTCGTGCTTTCTCCACATCCACGCCGCTCAGCAGATGCATCATCGCTGCCTGCTTCTTCTACACGCGGACAAATATAAAGGACAAATATAAACGTGTGTCACCGTGAGTCTTAGTGTGTCACCGTGAGTCACCGTGAGTCTTAGTGAGTCACCGTGAGTCTTAGTGTGTCACCGTGTGTCTCCGTGTGTCACGTGTGTCACCGTGTCTCCGTGTGTCACCGTGTGTCTCCGTGTGTCACGTGTGTCTCCGTGTGTCACCGTGTGTCTCCGTGTGTCACGTGTGTCTCCGTGTGTCACGTGTGTCTCAGTGTGTCACCGTGAGTCTCCGTGTGTCACCGTGAGTCTCAGTGTGTCTCCGTGCGTCTCCGTGCGTCTCCGTGCGTCACCGTGCGTCTCCGTGCGTCACCGTGAGTCTCCGTGCGTCACCGTGAGTCTCCGTGCGTCACCGTGTGTCTCCGTGTGTCACCGTGTGTCTCCGTGTGTCTCCGTGTGTCTCCGTGTGTCACCGTGTGTCTCCGTGTCACCGTGTGTCTCCGTGTCACCGTGTGTCTCCGTGTGTCTCCGTGTGTCACCGTGTGCCACGTGTGTCTCCGTGTGTCTCCGTGTGTCACCGTGTGTCTCCGTGTGTCACCGTGAGTCTCCGTGTGTCACCGTGAGTCTCAGTGTGTCTCCGTGCGTCTCCGTGCGTCTCCGTGCGTCACCGTGCGTCTCCGTGCGTCACCGTGAGTCTCCGTGCGTCACCGTGAGTCTCCGTGTGTCACCGTGTGTCTCCGTGTGTCACCGTGTGTCTCCGTGTGTCTCCGTGTGTCTCCGTGTGTCTCCGTGTGTCACCGTGTGTCTCCGTGTCACCGTGTGTCTCCGTGTGTCTCCGTGTGTCACCGTGTGCCACGTGTGTCTCCGTGTGTCTCCGTGTGTCACCGTGTGTCTCCGTGTGTCTCCGTGTGTCACCGTGAGTCTTAGTGTGTCACTGTGTGTCACCGTGTGTCTCCGTGTGTCACCGCGTGTCACCGTGTGTCTCCGTGTCACCGTTTGTCTCCGTGTGTCTCCGTGTGTCGCCGTGTCACCGTGTGTCACCGTGTGTCTCCGTGTGTCTCCGTGTGTCTCCGTGTGTCACCGTGTGTCTCCGTGTGTCTCCGTGTGTCACCGTGTGTCTCCGTGTGTCACCGTGCGTCTCCGTGCGTCTCCGTGCGTCTCCGTGCGTCTCCGTGCGTCACCGTGCGTCACCGTGTGTCACCGTGTGTCACTGTGAGTCACCGTGTCACAGTGTGTCACCGTGCGTCTCCGTGCGTCTCCGTGCGTCTCCGTGCGTCTCCGTGCGTCACCGTGCGTCACCGTGTGTCACCGTGTGTCACCGTGAGTCACCGTGTCACAGTGTGTCTCCGTGTGTCTCCGTGTGTCACCGTGTGTCACCGTGTCACCGTGTGTCACCGTGTGTCACCGTGTGTCTCCGTGTCACAGTGTGTCTCCGTGTGTCTCCGTGTGTCACCGTGTGTCACCGTGTGTCTCTGTGTCTCTGTGTGTCACCGTGTGTCACCGTGTCACCGTGTGTCACCGTGTGTCTTCGTGTCACAGTGTGTCACCGTGTGTCACCGTGTGTCTCCGTGTGTCACCGTGTGTCTCCGTGTGTCTCCGTGTGTCTCCGTGTGTCACCGTGTGTCTCCGTGTGTCTCCGTGTGTCACCGTGTGTCTCCGTGCCTTCAGTGGAGATGCTGTTTCTTCTCGAGATACGAGGTAGCGTGCCACCTCCATATTCTCGCTGTTCCGCACCGGGATGAATCGGTCACCGAGCTCGCCATGGGGAGTGCGGCGGGCGCGACCTGGAGTTTGGGCACACACACACACAGCGGGCATTCATGGCAAATGTGTACACGGACAGTAAACACACAGCAAAGTATATACAGAGAGAATGCATACATATATATGGCGATGCGTGCATACAGACCACACGCCGCACATTCCACGCATTCAAACGCCACAATCATCGCACACCGAACGCACAAAACCACAGGCTACACGTGCCTGTTGAACTTCTTTCGCACCGTACGTAGCCACGCCACACTCACCAGGTGAGCTCTTGCCCTTGGCCCCGGGCATTTTCCGGCACTTGGAGACGCGAGTGCGTCCTGGCGCAGTGTTGGTGCGGCAAGTCCCCTTCATTGGTGACACCGCCATCATGCTGCTGCTGCTGTTGATGCTGCTGCGGCTGCTGCGGCTGCTGCGGGCGCCAGGGGGGGCTGGCATGCCCAAGCCTCCCACCGTGCTCGTGTGAGCGGACGCCGCCTTGCGTCGCCATCGCAGCTGGCGACCCGAGGAGATGGGGGCATCCGGCTTCAGCGAGTGACTCGCGTCACTGACAAACGGGGACCGCAACATCCTGAGACGGTCGTGCGGCGAGACGTTGACACGAGCGGTGACGAGCGGTGACGTGGATGGGCTCTCAAATGTCAGCAGGACGTGATCTTTCTCTCAAGGGGCACTCCTGGGGACATCGTCAGATAGATGGAGACGCCGCACAAGGACACACAGGCATGGCTTAGCTCCGAGATAGAAATCTCAAACAAGCAGAGGCGAGGCTAGGGGGAGGGCAGGGGGGTACATGTGTCCCCGGGCGCCAAGGTCAAGGGCGCCAAAATGAGGCTTGCAACGATACATGATAACTTATTGCGGCGGGCGCGGCAGCCTGTAACTACTGCACAAATCTACACCTCAACCTAAAAGTTTATTTAGATTTAAAGCTTTCGTGACTGCAGGGATTCATCTTCTTGGTTCTTTCGGTAAAGTCACGAAGAAGGGAAGTAAAACAATAATAAAACATAATAAAATAAGTTGATATATCCCGCCACACACAGCCTAGATGTCATGTAATTACATCGATGTGGACAGAAGAATTAGGCGACGTCGGAAGATGCCAGGAGAACTGGCAAGAGATGCAGGACTTTGAGCAGAAGAAGAAATTGTGCGCGTTATGAAGAGCGTATTTTATCGACTTCAACAGGAGATGTCAACACGGTTTTTACAACTAAAAGACCTGAACACGAGATTTGGATTTCTGCTGGACGTCAAAACTCTTCTATCCGACACAGATGTCGATGCAATTCGTCAAAATTGCACAGATTTTGGAAATTTCTATGACACCGACATCAATGGCCACGAACTTATCACAGAAATTGGAGATTGCAAAATGCTGCTCAGTAACCGGAATGAAGTTCTACCAGAAACTCCTTTGGATCTTCTTGGTTTTATTTAGTTTTATGGAGACGACATATTTCCGAATTTGCGAAATTCACTGCAAATTGTATTAACAATAGCAGTTTCAATTGCAAGCTGTGAGCCGTCGTTCAGCAAATTTAAACGTATTTTGTCGCATTTGCGTGCTTCAATGGGACAAGATCGTCTCAGCGGTCTTGCTCTTATTAGCGTTGAAAGAGCAACATTGGAAAAAAACTGATTTTGATTACGTGATTGACCAGCTTGCGACAGTGAAATCAAGAAAACATTAATCTTTTGTAGACTGTCAACCAGTCTACGGCAGTGACTGAGTGAGCCATGTAATATAATCTCTAGAAATTTGCTTCTTTAAATACAATGTTTCATTAAAATTTAAATTATTCCTTGATAATTGCTTTTTTTACCCTTCTATCTGGCAACAAAACTGACTCTTGTTTTTACAAGGAGTCATGTTTACATAGACCACAACACCTGCAGTCATAATGCAAACAAAAACACAACTCTGATAATGTATGCACTGTCCTTGAAGTTCATTGGTCCACACCAGAGACAGCTTTCCTTAAAGAGCCTAGTTTCAAGGACAGTGCATACATTATCAGAGTTGTGTTTTTTGTTTGCATTATGGCTGCAGGTATTGTGGTCTATGTAAACATGACTCCTTGTAAAAACAAGGGGTCAGTTTTGTTTGCCAGATAGAAGGGTAAAAAAACAATTATCATATTTTTACTGGCAAATGAGGTTCCAATTTTGTTATTCCTTATTCGATGTTATAGGAAAATGTGATTAGACGGGGGAGGGGCGGGCGCCAATTTAATAGTTTGCAAACTCTCCCAGCTCCGTGTCTGCAAACAAGACCTCAGTGAGACCTCAGATACGTGGGGACAAAGCCCCATGCTAGGCGAAGCGACAAAGTGCAGCAGTTGTGTGCAAGTCATCCAACACACAATACACATTGTAGTTCAAATAATTCGTAGCCTTCGATTTAAAGCTTATTTCGTGACTGCAGGGATTCATCTTCTTGGTTCTGTCGGTAAAGTCACGTAGAAGGGAAGAAATAAAATAATAAAAATAAAACACAATAAAATAAAATTAAATAATTATATCATTGTTTTATTATTTCCCTTCTACGTGACTTTACCGAAAGAACCAAGAAGATGAATTCGTAGCCTTTGGTGAAATCATCATCAGAATGAGGCCTTCTCAGGCTGTGCCAGTGATTGTGTTGTGATGTTAACCATACTTCGCCGACAAAACCAACAAGTATAATACATCCAACCTCACACAAGCACAGACGATCAGAACCGCCGCACCACACAATGGCATCGACCACGATGAAAACTACCAGCAGAGATCACCACGATAACAACGCCCACTACGATACCCACACACACACACACAGCAGCACCACACAGCCAGCTCAAGCACAGCAACACACCACGGCAAGACTAACCATCACCACGATGCCAACCACCATCAGCCACCACCCTCCTCCTCACCTCTCACGAGACTGACGCTGCTGCTGCTGACACGACAAATGGTCGTTCTTTGTGCGCGAGACTGCGTCTCTCAAGGGGCCTCTGGAGAGGGAGAAGACGCCTCGTGATTGGTCAACGACGCCGAGGACCCCGCCTCGCCCCGCCCCCTCCCCCTTGGTTTAGGTGGCCACGGAGAACGCCTGACGCGAGCAGCGGTCGCCGTGGCAACCGCAATGCCGATTGCTTTTGGGGGCGTGGTTAGATGGGGTAAATATTTATGAGAGTGGAGATGTGAAGCTTTCGTGCCTGCAAGGGTTCATACTCTTAGGTTTTTTCGGTAAAGTCACGTAGGTAGAAATAAATGATAAAAAATAAAATATTATAATAGAAATAAAAGTTTCGATTTAAAGCTTTCGTGACTGCAGGGATTCATCTTCTTGGTTCTTTCGGTAAAGTCACGTAGAAGGGAAGTAATAAAATAATAAAAATAAAACATAATAAAATAAAATAATTCTCACGACGTTTCGGCTACAACGCAAGCAGCCGTCTTCAGGTGAAGAATGAGACACTGCCAAGCTAGGAGCTTATATATAAGCTGCGTTGGAGGTGGAAGAAGAGCGCCTTAATAAAAGAATGTGCATATCAATAGGAATTTAGCATATTCATGGCAAATACGTAGGAGGTGGGCGGGGGGGGGTTCAAAGTCATATTATGCCCGTGCATTATGCAGGATTAGCAGCACCAAAGGGAGGGGGTAGGGGTAGCATTCACAAAGGGAGGGAATGTTAATAATATGTAGAAGGAATGAAACATGTCAATGGGAGAGCGGTGGCAGGAGAGCGTGTGACATTAAACGTCGCCAGCCACGGTCGGCAAAAAAAACGACAAGAGCGCCGCCATCGTGAGCCCCGAACCTTGATCTTCTTGGCCATCTTGTTCAACTCCTCGTACTCCGCGTCGGGGAAGTCGTAGATCTTGATTTTGTTTTCCGCGATTTCCTTCCTGATCTAGACGACGACACGGCATGACGCACGGCAGAGGCCCATAAACTACTCACACAACAGAGAGCCATAGACTCACCACAAAGACCCATAGACTCATCACACAGCAGAGACCCACAGACTCATCACACAGCAGAGACCCATAGACTCATCACCAGAGGTGTGGACTCGAGTCATGTGACTTGGACTCGAGTCAGATTCGAGTCATTAATTTGATGACTTCAGACTCGACTTGGACTTGCATAACAATGACTTTGTCCCACCTCTGCTCATCACACAGCAGAGACCCATAGACTCATCAAACAGCAGAGACCCATAGACTCATCACACAGCAGAGACCCACAGACTCATCACACAGCAGAGACCCATAGACTCATCACACAGCAGAGACCCATAGACTCATCACACAGCAGAGACCCACAGACTCATCACACAGCAGAGACCCATAGACTCATCACACAGCAGAGCTATAGACTCACACAGAGACCCATAGACTCACACAGAGACCCATAGACTCACACAAAGACCCATAGACTCACCACAAAAACCCATAGACTCACACAGAGACCATAGACTCACACAGAGACCCATAGACTCATCACACAGCAGAGACCCATAGACTCATCACACAGCAGAGACCCATAGACTCATCACACAGCAGAGAGCCATAGACTCACACAGAGACCCATAGACTCACCACAAAGACCCATAGACTCACACAGAGGCCCATAGACTCACACAGAGACCCATAGACTCACACAGAAACACATAGACTCACACAGAGACCCATAGACTCATCACACAGCAGAGACCCATAGACTCATCACACAGCAGAGACCCATAGACTCATCACACAGCAGAGAGCCATAGACTCATCACACAGCAGAGAGCCATAGACTCATCACACAGCAGAGACCCATAGACTCATCACACAGCAGAGAGCCATAGACTCACACAGAGACCCATAGACTCACACAGAGACCCATAGACTCACCACAAAGACCCATAGACTCACACAGAGACCCATAGACTCACACAGAGACCCATAGACTCACACAGAGACCCATAGACTCACACAGAGACCCATAGACTCACACAGAAACCCATAGACTCACACAAAGACCCATAGACTCACACAGAGACCCATAGACTCATCACACAGCAGAGACCTATAGACTCATCACACAGCAGAGACCCATAGACTCATCACACAGCAGAGACCCATAGACTCATCACACAGCAGAGAGCTATAGACTCACACAGAGACCCATAGACTCACACAGAGACCCATAGACTCACACAAAGACCCATAGACTCACCACAAAGACCCATAGACTCACACAGAGACCCATAGACTCACACAGAGACCCATAGACTCACACAGAGACCCATAGATTCATCACACAGCAGAGACCCATAGACTCATCACACAGCAGAGACCCATAGACTCATCACACACCAGAGAGCCATAGACTCACACATAAAGACCACACAGAGACCCACAGTCTGTGGGTCTCTGTGTGGTGATTATGTGGGGTTCTGTGTGGTGAGTCTGTGGGTCTCTGTGTGGTGAGTCTGTGGGTCTCTGTGTGGTGAGTCTGTGGGTCTCTGTGTGGTGATTATGTGGGTCTCTGTGTGGTGATTATGTGGGTCTCTGTGTGGTGATTATGTGGGTCTCTATGTGGTGAGTCTGTGGGTCTCTGTGTGGTGAGTCTGTGGGTCTCTGTGTGATGACTGTGGGTCTCTGTGTGGTGAGTCTGTGGGTCTCTGTGTGGTGAGTCTGTGGGTCTCTGTGGTGATTATGTGGGTCTCTGTGTGGTGAGTCTGTGGGTCTCTGTGGTGAGTCTGTGTGTCTCTGTGTGGTGAGTCTGTGGGTCTCTGTGTGGTAATTATGTGGGTCTCTGTGTGGTGAGTCTGTGGGTCTCTGTGTGGTGAGTCTGTGGGTCTCTGTGGTGAGTCTGTGGGTCTCTGTGTGGTGAGTCTGTGGGTCTCTGTGTGGTGAATCTATGGGTCTCTGTGTGGTGAGTCTATGGGTCTCTGTGTGGTGAGTCTGTGGGTCTCTGTGTGGTAATTATGTGGGTCTCTGTGTGGTGATTATGTGGGTCTCTGTGTGATGAGTCTATGGGTCTCTGTGTGATGAGTCTGTGGGTCTCTGTGTGGTGAGTCTGTGGGTCTCTGTGTGGTGAGTCTGTGGGTCTCTGTGTGATGAGTCTATGGGTCTCTGTGTGATGAGTCTGTGGGTCTCTGTGTGATGAGTCTGTGGGTCTCTGTGTGGTGAGTCTGTGGGTCTCTGTGTGGTGAGTCTGTGGGTCTCTGTGTGGTGAGTCTGTGGGTCTCTGTGTGGTGATTATGTGGGTCTCTGTGTGGTGAGTCTGTGGGTCTCTGTGTGGTGAGTCTGTGGGTCTCTGTGTGGTGAGTCTGTGGGTCTCTGTGTGGTGAGTCTGTGGGTCTCTGTGTGGTGATTATGTGGGTCTCTGTGTGGTGATTATGTGGGTCTCTGTGTGGTGATTATGTGGGTCTCTGTGTGGTGAGTCTGTGGGTCTCTGTGTGGTGATTACTGTGGGTCTCTGTGTGGTGAGTCTGTGGGGCTCTGTGTGTGAGTCTGTGGGTCTCTGGTGGTGAGTATGTGGGTCTCTGTGGTGGATCTGTGGTCTGTGTGGTGAGTCTGTGGGTCTCTGTGTGGTGATTCTGTGGGTCTCTGTGTGGTGAGTCTGTGGGTCTCCTGTGTGGTGATATGTGGGGTCTCTGTGTGGTGAGTCTGTGGGTCTCTGTGTGGTGAGTCTGTGGGTCTCTGTGTGGTGAGTCTGTGGGTCTCTGTGTGGTGATTATGGGGGTCTCTGCTGTGATGAGTCTGTGGGTCTCTGTGTGATGAGTCTATGGGTCTCTGTGTGATGAGTCTGTGGGTCTCTGTGGGTCTCTGTGTGGGAGTCTGTGGGGTCTCTGTGTGGTGAGTCTGTGGGTCTCTGTGTGGTGATTAGTGGGTCTCTTTGTGATTAGTCTGTGGGTCTCTGTGTGATGAGTCTATGGGTCTCTGTGTGATGAGTCTGTGGGTCTCTGTGTGATGAGTCTGTGGGTCTCTGTGTGAAGAGTCTGTGGGTCTCTGTGTGTGAGTCTGTGGGTCTCTGTGTGGTGAGTCTGTGGGTCTCTGTGTGATGATCTATGGGTCTCTGTGTGATGAGTCTGTGGGTCTCTGTGTGATGAGTCTGTGGGTCTCTGTGTGGTGAGTCTGGTGGTCTCTGTGTGATGATCTATGGGTCTCTGTGTGATGATCTGTGGGTCTCTGTGTGATGAGTCTGTGGGTCTCTCTGTGTGCTGAGTCTGTGGGTCTCTGTGTGATGAGTCTGTGGGTCTCTGTGTGGAGTCTGTGGGGTCTCGTGTGAGTCTGTGGGTCCTCTGTGTGGTGAGTCTATGGGTCTCTGTGTGGTGAGTCTATGGGTCTCTGTGTGGTGAGTCTGTGGTCTCTGTGTGGATGAGTCTGTGGGTCTCTGTGTGGTGAGTCTGTGGGTCTCTGTGATGATCTGTGGGTCTCTGTGTGGTGAGTCTGTGGGTCTCTGTGTGGTGAGTCTGTGGGTCTCTGTGTGGTGAGTCTGTGGGTCTCTGTGTGGTGAGTCTGTGGGTCTCTGTGTGGTGATTATGTGGGTCTCTGTGTGGTTGAGTCTGTGGGTCTCTGTGTGATGAGTCTGTGGGTCTCTGTGTGATGAGTCTGTGGGTCTCTGTGTGGTGAGTCTGTGGGTCTCTGTGTGGTGAGTCTGTGGGTCTCTGTGTGATGAGTCTATGGGTCTCTGTGTGATGAGTCTGTGGGTCTCTGCGTGGTGAGTCTGTGGGTCTCTGTGTGGTGAGTCTGTGGGTCTCTGTGTGGTGAGTCTGTGGGTCTCTGTGTGGTGAGTCTGTGGGTCTCTGTGTGGTGAGTCTGTGGGTCTCTGTGTGGTGAGTCTGTGGGTCTCTGTGTGGTGAGTCTGTGGGTCTCTGTGTGGTGAGTCTGTGGGTCTCTGTGTGGTGAGTCTGTGGGTCTCTGTGTGGTGATTATGTGGGTCTCTGTGTGGTGATTATGTGGGTCTCTGTGTGGTGATTATGTGGGTCTCTATGTGGTGAGTCTGTGGGTCTCTGTGTGTGACTGGGTC